GTGATCAAGTAATCCAGTTTTTAAAGCAATATCGGATTGGATCAATCTGATTCGGATAGAAACTTTTCAGGATCACTAAATCTGTTACCAGTGCTCAATCACAAGGTAGATAGATAGATACGCCTATGTAAAGAGCAACAAGTAGAATAGCCAGTGTGGGGTCAATATAACTTTATTATTATTCGAAATGAAAACTAAAAACAAGAAAAACCCCACCCCATCCTCTTCCAGTCTGCTCATCTGAGACCTACAACACAAACACTGTACATTGAGGATATTTATATAAGTTTCAAATATGCAAATAAAAAAAAGACAATATCAAAAACTCCACAATAAATTCAGACTTCCTCATCTGATGTGGAGAGACCAGCTTGTCTGAGCGTAGCCTTTAGGAGGCCCATCTCAAGTCTGACCTTGGTTTGCAGCAGTTTTGACAGCTGTTTGGGGGATTATTTTATGAGGCCAAGCTATTTGTACTTTGCTGTAGGCCTATACTGAAAGGCTGAATATGTTAAAGCCAATAATCACTATAGCCTGATAGATGAACAAATAAAGTTTAAACCTTATGAGTAAATAGTATATCTCATAAGATACTGCATGATCCAAAAATAAGATTATTTAATAATTTTTTAAAGTTTTCATTACATTTTGGGCATGAAATCAACACTAAATCCAACCTTCTGATGGGATCAGTTTAATCCAGGTTTTTTGAATCAAAGTGATCCAAATCCTACAAAAAAGGTCTGAAAAACCCAAAGTAAAGGTTTGATCCGAATCAAAACCAAAAATAATTACGTGATCTAATCCGATTAGGTAATCCGTTTTTTCTTTTGAAAAACCCATTTTCAAGATCTGATCCAATCTCTTATCCGAAATCCTAGTAGATTACTTTCAAAAAACCGGGCCCTGGGCATTACCAAGTGAGTCTTTCACGAAACAGCTCTCCCTGGTCACAGTTTTCGGCACAACACCACCCTTCAGAAACGAAAGTGAAAGTGCTTAGTTGTCGTGTCACAGCTTTAAACGGACAGAATCCATCATTTACCAGCACGGAATAGCTTTGTATCTTTAATTTTCTGACAAAACCTGTAATGCCGAGACTGCATGATTTTCAAAGTAGTCCTGTCACCGATGTTTTCACACTGCATGACTATCTGGGCTAGCACTTTGACGCTGCTTTGTTTACACTGCCTGATGGATCGGTGACAGGGGGTTTTACACTGCATGACTTCACAATAGGATAGAGGTAAAGTTGGTTTTACACCGCACATTCGTTCATTTAGAAGTCTCTATATTGTTTACCATGTTATATTGAATATTTGTTTGGAATTAGCATGCAAGTATGACTTGAAAACAACATTAACACTGTTTATTTGACTGTGAACAATGTTGTACTTTGATAGTCATTGGCTGCTAATATGATTTCACTATTTATAGTTTGCAAATAATATTTTTTATGAAATTATATTATTATGGGGCAAGTCTGAATATAAAACTAACTTTACCTCTGTACAATAGGAAGAATCGTCGACAACTTTGTGTACACCAAAACAACTATAAACACGTAGTTTATATTTTGTTATTAACTACATAAGTAGAAAAGGCATCATGGGGCATAATATCCACATATTTGCTCACCTGGGTTTGAAGGAAATTAGCAATTTCTCCTCAACTTTTTTTTTTTTTTTTTGACCCGGTTGTGATATTGCTCACATGACACCTCAAACAGACACGGGTGCTCATGCCAAATTTACACTAGTTTTTCCTCCATTTCTTGGGTCCAAATAAATTAAAAATAAGCGCTTTTAACTTCTCCTTGATATAATTTTCAGTCAACACTCATTTCACACGGCATGACAGCTCCAAATATTCAGCATGCCAAATATCTCACGGTTGTCTGCGACTCATCTGCGATTTTCTCAGATGGGGTCTTTGATAGTTCACATTGTGTGATTGTTACTTGCCTGCACGAGCACTGATTTGCCTGTGATTTCAGGCATTTGTCGGCATTTTCTCCTAACCTGTCTGAACTTGGCATAAGGTTTATGTGAATCTGTATGTATGATTATATTTTATTTCTAATCAACTGAATGATGATTCTTTTGTTTGTTTACTCATGATGTGTCTCAGTTGCTGATCTATTCCTGCATTCAGCTGAATTTTGAAGGCTGATCAATGACTGGAGAACTGTGATTGTTCATCAGTTTCCTCTAGAGTTTCTGCTGGAGATCAAACTTTTCAGATCCATCATGGAGGAAACGCACACTTCTGGAGATCTGAATTTGTTTACAGGATGCAGGTATTAGGTCTACACACTACATTTCATATGATTATTTTTTTAAAAGATATTATATTTACTCTCTATTAGTTGTGGTTTTAATGTACAGGTTTTAATATATATATGAAAAAACAAATATATATATATATATATATATATATATATATATATATATATATATATATATATATATATATATATATATATATGATGGCGTTCACTTCTTACCTGGTGTTTTAAACAATGGAATGTCTACTTGTTTGCAAAATGGAATTCATATAACATTTTCCATATCCACCTTACTCTGAGGAAAAGAGTGAACTCGAGGTCTCAATACTGTCAGGTAAGTGCTGGGCCAGAAAGTAATAAACAAAAACAATCGAAATAAAGATGTACAAAAATCACAAAGTAGCTACAAAAGTAATAAAAAATAATTTTACCGAAACAAAAGTGAAGCAAAAACAAGATCAAAGGAAAAGTGCTTTCCTCCGCTTTTCCTGGTGTCCTTTTATATGACCATGCTTTGCGCCCAAAGATGATCGGCTGGCCTCCTGAGCAATCGGATCTCGTGAAGGTAGGCCTAAAGGAAATGACAGGCTGGGAGAAAGCGAGAGAGACAAAACAGAGAGAGAGAGAGAAAACAGGAGGCAAAAATACTACAAATATATGGCAACTGTAACACTCACATTTGATCATTAGTGAAGTACTGAAGTAGTAGTAAGTAAAGTACTGAAACTCAAATTGTTAGAGTTAGTAGAGTGAATGGCAAAAGAGATACTTGTTTAAAATGAAACTGTGTTTAAATCCTCTGTTTATTATCTTAATAAAGTGGAGCAATGTTACAGTGTTACTGAAATCCTGACCCTTTGAGAACAAACGCTTGTATGATCTAAAGATTATTGGGTTAAACAAACACTATATTCAGTCAGAAAGTGAGCTGACAGAAGCCGAGCAAACACAGGCATGGTGAAGCACTGAAAGATTCAGACAGCTGAGATGGCAGAAGATGATTATTTTCTTATTGATGGCAAAACATTTAACAAGTATATGATCACAACAACCTTCAGAACTACAGACAGCAAAATACAAGATTCAGAGCAACATACAATTAATTATACAATAAAAGAAAACTTTCAACATTACACACTACAGAACAGGTTATCTAGGATCTTTTGTCCTCATGCTTGTGCTCTCTCACATTTTTATCTTAAAAGATTTTAAATGTCTTTAGTGAGCATCCAGCATAATTGTAAATAAATTATTGTAAATGACTGATGGGTCACATTTAATAAATGACAAACACTGTCAAATGTTTACAGCATTTTGAGCATTAGACGTGATCAGTGTGTGGTGCGTAAAGTGCTTCACAATAGAGCTATGAGAGACATTTGAAGACTGTGGCCGGTTCTTGCTGATCTGAAACAGTTTCTGCATTAGTATACTTCTGGATTAAATATGTGTATTGTGTCTCAGCTGTTTCAGAAAAAACACACATGGCTTTATTAAAGGTTCTTTACACTCATACTCATTCATTCTTTGTGTCGTTGTTGTTCCTGCAGTGTGGATAGAGATGATCAGACTGGAGACCTGCAACAGGATTCACTCCAACCAGAACATGATGAACTGCAGAGAGTCAAAGACCAGCACAAAACCAGCATGAAGAACAAGTATGTGAGATTATTTGAGGAAATCAAACATCGAGACAGTCAAACTCTACTGAACAGGATCTACACACAGCTCTATATTATACAAGGAGAGAGTGAAGGAGTGAATAGAGAGCATGACGTTTTACAGACGGAAAAAACAGCCCAAACAAGACCCTCACAACACACTCCAGTCTACTGCAATGACATCTTTAAAGCCTCAGCTGGAGCAGGACATGAGGAGAAAATAAAGGAGAAAGCCCAGATCAAGACTGTTCTTACTAAAGGCATCGCTGGAATCGGAAAAACCGTCTCTGTGCAGAAGTTCATTCTGGACTGGGCCGACGGAAAAGCCAATCAGGATGTAGATTTCATGTTTGTGCTTCCATTTCGAGAACTGAACTTGATCCGAGATCATCAGTACAGTCTTCACAGACTTCTGCTGGACTTTCATCCTGAACTTGAAGATCTGGAGCCCAAGATTTATGAGCAGTGTAGAGTTGTGTTCATCTTTGATGGTCTGGATGAAAGCAGAATCACACTTAGGTTTTCAGAAGAGGAGAAAGTTTGTGCTGTGACTGAATCTTCATCAGATGAGGAGAAAGTTTGTGCTGTGACTGAATCTTCATCATATGAGGAGAAAGTTTGTACTGTGACTGAATCTTCATCAGATGAGGAGAAAGTTTGTGCTGTGACTGAAACTTCATTAGTGTCTGTGTTGATTTTGAACCTCATGAAAGGTGATCTGTTTCCCTCTGCTCTCATCTGGATCACCTCCAGACCTGCAGCAGCCCATCAGATCCCCTCCAAATACATCAACCGTCTGACAGAAATTCAGGGATTCACTGAACCTCAGAAGGAGGAATATTTCAGGAAGAGAATCAGCGACGAGCATCAAGCCAGCAGAATCATCTCTCACATAAGAAGAGCAAGAAGCCTCCAGATCATGTGCCACATACCCGTCTTCTGCTGGATCTCCTCCACTGTGCTTCAGAAGCTGCTGGAAGAAGATGTGAGTGCAGAAATCCCTCAAACTCTTACTGAGATTTACATCCACTTCCTGCTGATTCAGATCAACATGAGGAAGCAGAAGTATGAAGAGAGAGATCCAGAGAAACTCCGGGAGACCAACAGAGGAGTGATCCTCAAACTTGCTGAAGTGGCTTTCAGAGAGCTGATAAAGGGCAATGTAATGTTCTATGAGGAGGACCTGATTGAGAGCGGCATAGACGTCACTGACGCCTCGGTGTATTCTGGGATCTGCACTGAGATCTTCAAGGAGGAATCTGTGATTCATCAGAGGAAAGCCTACAGCTTCATCCATCTCAGCTTTCAGGAGTTTCTGTCTGCTTTCTTTGTGTTTCACTGCTATTTAACAGAGAAGAGAGAACCACTGAGGTTGCTTTATGAGAGTAAATATTCAGATGATGAAGATGTGTCAGATGGTAATGAATTTAAAGATTCAGATGTTCAATTTGTACAGTCCAGCTCTGAGTTCTCTCTGTGCCATCTGCTCAGTTTAGCAATATATAAAGCTGTCAGCAGTAGTAATGGTCATCTGGATCTGTTCCTGTGGTTCCTGCTGGGCGTCTCACTGGAGTCCAATCAGAGACTCTTCCAGGATCTGCTGACACACACAGAGGAGAGCTCAGAGAGCATCAGGACAAAAAGACATGATCATAACAGATTATGATCTCTCAGCTGAAAGATCAATCAATCTTTTCCTCTGTCTGCTGGAGGTGAAAGATCAGACTCTGGCCAGAGAGATTCAGGAGTTTGTGAAATCAGACAAACACTCAGAGGAGGAACTCTCTCCTGCTCACTGCTCAATAATCTCCTACATGATTGAGATGTCAGAGGAGCCGCTGGATGAGTTAGACTCTAATAAATTGAACACATCACCTAAGGGAAGATGGAGACTTATACCAGCTGTAAGAAACTGCATAAGAGCTCTGTAAGTATTCATTCATCACAGAAGACACACATCAGTCTGCACTGAAGACTCAGATAAGTTTACCAAATCACTGCCCTGCTTTAACAGAAAATATTTAGCTGGACATATTGCCTCCACCCCCTGTGAGTTCATTGATACACCATATTACTGCATGGGGACGTGGCATTTTCTGTTTCCTTATTTGTTTATTTATTTAACCATTTCTAAATGTATTTAACAAACTTTTCTTAACTTTTTACTCGCACAAACAACATTTGCTTTATGTTTTATCCTAAAAAATAACTCAAATCATTGCAAAACTCTGTGCTTCTCCAGCTAAATAGGACATTAGTTGATGTGTATTTGCTCAAATATAACACAGCGTTGCGCTTGGATAATTGTGTTTGTTTTCTAAAGAGAAATAGTGTCATTTTAAACGCAGTATTGCCGTCTCACCGCAGACATGCATCTAATATTACATTTACTGTAGGCCTAAACATTAAACTTTACACTGAGCTCAGTAAAATGCTCTTTTAGTTTTTAATGATATTTTTAATAACTCATTAAATTCATATGAATGATGAAATACGGATTTCATTTAGCTTAATGTAGTTTAAATAAATAAACAAAAAGAGTATATTTTAAATGAAATTATAGGCTTGTTCTGGAAATGCCCATGTGGCTGGAGTGTGTCAGCAGTTCCTGCAATTCACTAAAGTTTTGAGTGTGACTTCAAATCCAGACATCCATGGGTTAATACATTTGATTTCCAGTGATCATTTCTGTGTGATTTTGTTGTCAGCACATTGAACTGTGTAAAGAACAAAGTATTTAATGAGAACATTTCATTCAGATCTAGGATGTGTTACTTTAGTGTTCCCTTTAGTTTTTTAGCAATATATATATAGTTTATTTTTCAGTGTTGCTTTTATCAATGTAGACTGGACTCATGAACACTCAACAGTGCTCATTTCTTACTGCTGATTTTGTTGTTCTTTGTCCTCTGCACAGGCTACAGTGGTGTTATCTCGATGTTCAGTATTGTGAGAGTTTGTCTTCAGCTCTACAATCCTCAAACTGTGCCTTGAGAGAGCTGGACCTGAGTAACAATGACCTGCAGGATTCAGGAGTGAAGCTTCTCTCTGGTGGACTGAAGAGTCCAAACTGTAAACTGGAGACACTGAGGTAAAATAAAAGAAAGTTTCCCTAAAATAATTGCTGCCACAAATTACTTTTACAAGGTGCAAAAAAAGTATGATGAATTAACGAGCTTATGCTGTAATGTATTTTATTTTTTGTTTATTTAGTGGGAATATTTCTTGTTTCAGGTGTAAAGTCAAATATGAGAAAACTTATATATTATTGCTCTTAAGTGCAAATTCCGCTGAAATTATCATTGATTCTTGTTCTTTTGTTTTTTTTTTTAACGATACTCCCAAAATCATTCCACATAAATCTGTCTGGCTCTGCTCATTGGGTTTTATTTTTGTCTGACTTGTGAATTTGTATGTGTTTTATTAGTTTTGTGTGTGTGGAAATTAAGTCGGTTCTGGTTAGAGTGGAATGATCTCACTGATGTTGTTTTCTCCATTCCGTCTATTTTGACCTTCTCTATGCTAATAATGATCAGGTTACAGTCATCTGTGTCCCTGATTAAACTGCCATAGCCTTCTGATTAGAGTAGTCCACTAGTGTAATAGTGTTTACTTTAAAGCTGCTTAGTTGCTCTCCTGTATTCTTCTGTAAATCTAGTGATTAGTTTATTATCATTATTTTTGCTTCTTTTTTTTTTGTTATGTATTGTGAAGTCAGAAAATAGCAAATGCTACTGATAATTATGATTCTCACAGGAATACACTAAACAAGAGTGAGTTCAGCCAGCTGAAGGTGTTACAGTGGACAAGGGTGATGGGGGAGAGGCAGGTTAATAGAAATCATGACAGGGTACAGGATAAGGCAGGTGGACAGGGAGGAGGGCAAAGCCAAGGCAGAAACTACTGGACAGTAAACCAGACCAGATCCTGTGGATAAGAATAAACAGCTGGAGGACAGAGCTTTAGGGGAGCTGGAAAAACTCTCCATGATGATTTAGGTGTAGCAGAAGCCCACTTTTTGTGGAGGTTTGTGGCCAGAGATCCTCAACAGCTGGAGGCCCTGATGTGGCCACCATAATAGCTGGGGTCATGGCATCCATCTTGTGTAATGACTCCTAGGCAGACATCTTGGTAAGATACTGAGGGTTTGCAGGCATGTCAGGTGATGAAGCCACAGGAGTTTAGAGTGTTGAATGTTCAAATAAACTGAGCTAGTAAATTTGAGTTGAAATCTGAAAATGCACTTCCTGTTTTCTTTCTTCTAAGTTGTAAGACTACATCTGTCTGAGGCATTGGGTGTGGCTAACATACTTAACCACGCCCCTTCAGCTGTCAGTTTTGACAACAGACAGGAATGGTAAGGAGGAGTCTGTTAGGTTGAAAAACATTAGATGCGTTTGACTTCATGCAGTGCTGCGCAGATCGATCTAAATCTGGCTTAAAGCAGTGCATGCTGGGTAGAAATGTTGTCCGGATTGAAGCGGCACGGACGCCATGTGACTGTCACTTGTGGGATCAAAGTATCGTGACAGCGCCCCTGAAGAGCGAATGCTGGAGCTGCGATGACGACACTGATATTACTCGAGTTCACTGCATGACATCAACCACGTGTGTTTCAGGTTTATTATTGGACAAATTCCATCTCACAATTTTCAAAACAAACAGTTGACTGTTCATACCCTCTCTATCTTGTACACATCATGCTTATTAAATAACTACAACATTTTTTTTTACCGCAGTATCATCTTTTATTGAATAATTTGTTTTTACACAGGCTACAGAGCTGTAATCTCACTGCTCAGTCTTGTGAGAGTTTGTCTTCAGCTCTACAATCCTTAAACTGTGTCCTGAGAGAGCTGGACCTGAGTAGCAATGACCTGCAGGATTCAGGAGTGAAGCTTCTCTCTGATGGACTGAAGAGTCCAAACTGTAAACTGGAGACACTGAGGTCTGAGTTCAAACACCTGATTGATTGATTGTATTTATTTATTACATTAAACAAATTACTAAAAAATTTAACTCTAATTATATATTTTTTTCAGACTGGTGATGTGTAAACTAACTGTTCAGTCCTGTGAGAGTTTGTCTTCAGATCTACAATCCTCAAACTGTGTCCTGAGAGAGCTGGACCTGAGTCACAATGCCCAGCAAGATTCAGGAGTGCAGCTTCTCTCTGATGCACTGAAGACTGTAAACTGTAAACTGGAGACACTGAGGTAAATGATTTTACACTCAACAGTAACAAAAAGTGTTTTGATTTAGATGGAAATGTCCAGATATATTTAAGAGCATTAGTGGATAAACTGCAAAATGCTGCTTTTTCAAATGAAAGTTGCTCTTTTTCTCATACAGTTCAGGAAATCAGTCTATGTTAAAGATGATTTTAATTAATTACATTTAAAATCTTTATTTATATTTTTATTTGATCATATTTATAGTTTATCTTTAAATTGGTTTATTGGAAAGTTATATTCAGGATTTTGTCAGATGTTTTGGTCATTCTGACCAAAAAACAGAAACAACAGAAGCAATATGGATAAGGTCTGAGCAGGTTGCTGGACCCTGCAGCAGTTTTGACAGGCTCTGATAATTTGCATTTTGCAAGATCATAAATATAAAAAGTCAATTTCAATAATTCTAATTAACACAAAATCAAATAGTTTTGTCGTATTATTAAACTTATAGTTTTTTTTTTTTTTTTTTTTTACATCAGATGAATTACTAAAATCACACTGTTAATGTAATCTGTGTTCTTGTTTCTCAGACTGGCCATGTGTAATCTCACTGTTCAGTCCTGTGAGAGTTTGTCTTCAGCTCTACAGTCCTCAAACTGTGTCCTGAGAGAGCTGGACCTGAGTAACAATGACCTGCAGGATTCAGGAGTGAAGCTTCTATCTGATGGACTGAAGACTGTGAACTGTAAACTGGAGACACTGAGGTAAATTATATTACACTCAACAGATACAGTTTCATATTGGGTATCAGTATCATACTATACTAATGTAGGTTTATAAAAATATATTTAAAAGAATTACTGAGTAGACTGCAAAATGTTGCACTTTTCAGAGCTTCTCTTTTTCCAATATGCCCAAATATGAATTAAAGTTAAAGTAATCCGTTTACTTTAAGGATTATTTATTCATATTTTATATTTTTATATTTATATTTTGTGCCCTGGGGAAGTGTAGACATGCTCTACTTTTTGTTTAATTTGCATTTACTTGTAAACATATAAAAGTCACATGACACTCTTATTGTAATCTAAACCACTACAATAATATAAACACACTATAAGCATGTATTTAGGAGTTTACTGTAAGGGACACGGTGAACTCATATATTTACTTCACATGCGTCTGAAAATAACCCTGATTACTCATTTCTAAAAAAATAAATGATACCCGGGTGGTTCTATATACAGTTGAAGTCAGAATTATTAGCCCCCTTTTGATTTTTTTTTCTTTTTTAACTATTTCCCAAATGATGTTTGACAGAGCAAGAATATTTTCACAGTATGTCTGATAATATTTTTTCTTCTAGAAAAAGACTTATTTGTTTTATTTTGGCTGGAATAAAAGCAGTTTTGAATTTTTTAAAAACAATTTTTGGGACAAAATTATTAGCCCCTTAAAGCTATTTTTTTTCCCGATAGTCTACAGAACAAACCATCATTATAGAATAACTTGCCTAATTACCCTAACCTGCCTAGTTCACCTTATTAACCTAGTAAAGCCTTTAAATGTCACTTTAAGCTGCATAGAAGTGTCATGAAAAATATCAAGTAAAATATTATTTACTGTCATCATGGCAAAGATAAAATAAATCAGTTATTAGAAATAGGTTTTTAAAACTATTATGCTTAGAAATGTGCTGAAACAATCTTCCCTCCATTAAACAGAAATTGGGGAAAAAATAAACAGGGGCGCTAATAATTCAGGGGGGCTAATAATTCTAACTTCAACTGTGTATGTATATATATATATATATATATATATATATATATATATATATATATATATATATATATATATATATATAAATTAGTGCTGTCAATTGATTAAAAAAACTAATCACACTTTTTTTTATTAATCGCATTTAAAAGTCTGAAACTTGTAGTTTTGGCTATTCGAATGTAAAATTAATGTTAAAATTAAAATAACTATTTAAATTCAAAGTATAATTGTTTATTAGAATTTTTGTTTGACTTGTAACACAGATTTCTTCATGTAAACAACATGCCCACAATAAACCATCAAGATCCTGGCTTGACAGCCATATTTATTACAGAAATAAAAACACAGGCATGTTAATGCTATTTAAATTTCAAAACAATCAATGCCAATAAAAAAAACATTGATTTCCATGTTGGATTCTTGGTGGTCTGCAAAAAAATACCAAAATATAGGCATCACAGATATGGAAAATTATAATAATAATAATAAAGTATTGAATACAAACAATTGCACTTATTGCAGGGCTGGACTTGGACAAAAAATCGGCTCTGGCATTTTGGGCCAGAGCGGCCCAATACATCAATCAAAAGGCTCCCAATCTGTGCACGCCCTTGAATGTGTTTACTAACTCCCATTCTATAAAAGCACAAAAGCCATAAATAGGAAATAACGAGTTGACAAATTAAAAACTTATTTTTTTTGTTATTATTATAATAAAATTATAAGAACAGGTTGAGAACAGGCGTGACTTAGAGCTGCATGATACTGGCTAAAATGAGAATCGCAATTTTTTTGCTAAAAACAAAGATCACGATATTCTCACGATTCTGTAGATGTAAAATAAAGGTATGGTAAAAACAAACATATGGCAAAACATCAATAATAATATTATGTTTAGGTCTACTGGTTTCTATAAATAATTCTATTCTACTTATAATAATTTTGATGTTGAATTATTATGTTTGAGATTGCAATCTGTCATTGACAACATTATTAGACAATTTTATTCACTGGTAAAATCAGACATTTGTCATTATTAGATTATATTCAACAATATTTAGGCTAGAGTAGGTATACTGACACTGTCAACATTTATTTTCATGCCAAACTCTGTTCGCTATGAAAGAAAACACATATCAAATGCTTGTCGTAATCATAACTCCAAAATGCGATTTGATCGTTTAAATGAAGTGCACACTTTCGTTTTAATTTTGACTGCTAAGTGCTTGTTCATACTTCACGAGCGGCTCCCAAACGATCACTCTGTGCCACAAACTGAATATTATTTACAACTGTATTACCTGTTACAGCATATGCAGGTTCTGATCACTAAAGTAGGCGCGTGCGTCTATCATTAAGTAGGGCGCGCTCCCTCCCTCTCTGTGATTACAGCTCATGGTCAGCAGCTCACGTCATGTTTGATTTCCCGGCCGCGAAAACATCATTATATGGCAACAAAAATGACATTTTTAGGTTAATTATACCTTATAAATACAGTATGTGACTTATTCAACATCATTTGGAGGTGTCCATGTCACTGAGCAACGTGTGTGAAACAATGAAAAGACTCATGCAGTCGCCTTTTCTTCTCTCCTGAACTTGAAAATATGACTGACAGAATCGTAGAAATGCTGGATTAAGATCCTCTAGGTGGTCGAATCGAGATCGCAATCTTTTTTTTGATTGTGCAGCTCTAGCATGACTCTCGACTATTTTGACAAATACACACCTACTTTGCACGCTTACACAGAGCTCAGCATGGAAGTTTGTGATTGGGTCAGCCCAATGTCAATAAAAAAAGAACCAATGGGCTGCAGATTAGGTCACATGGGCCGCTCTGTCCGGAAAAGAAACATCTTACTTTCAGAGCATCAAAGTTTACAGGATCGTCAATCACTTAGGCAGAAAAACATGACAGTCTGCTAAGTGTTTTATGGGCCGACCAGATCATAAGAATTTGATCAGCCCGCCCCAAAAAGTACGTCGGCCCAGCAGGTAACTGCCCTGTCTGCCAGATGGCCAGTCTGCCCATAAATTATACATAAAATATATATGTTCAAAAAGACTGCCAAGCAGGGTAAGGGTAAAGTTACTTACTTCCTAACAGATGAAAATCCATGAGGTTCTAGGCTGACTGGCCGCCTTAGCCGGGACGTCCTGTATATTTATTGACTTGTCCAGTACATGACCTCCCTTTCCCTATTTTTGACATTATTTTTTTAAACAACTGTCAGACAAAGGCTTTAATGAGTCCTCAGCTGTCATAGGTCACTTCACAGCTAAAGGCGCTAATGCCGCCACGTCTGTGTTTTGATCACTGGGATGCATTCCAGATGAAACTGGATAAGTATAATAATTTTTTGGACAAAATTGATATAAACAAAATAAATTATGACCTGGAGAAAATCTGCCCTGCGCCCGAAAAACCTGTGTTTACTATGAGCATAACACATGTTCTGACTTTTCAGGCCTGTAGGCAGGAAAGGTTCGGGTCACCCACCCCTCACCGACAAAGGTACAGAATTTGTCTCATACATGAGCTTATTTGTCCTATTTTGACTGCTATGTCATCATACATAATGAAAATAATCCATCGGAAAAGGCTTTAAGACCAAACGGAATCATTTGTCGGCTGTTGCTTCGGTGGGACTATAATCTGATGTAAGAGAAGTCTTCTTTCACTACTGTATTGTTCTTAAACAGAGAAAACATTTTACAGGTAACTTTATTCTAAATCTTGGACCTTATTTCTGAAATAAAAATGAGCAATAAAAATTGGAATTTTCAAATGTACTTTTTTTTAAACCATTATTTCATTATTATTATTATTATTATTATTATTATTACTATGTTTTATTTTTTATTGAAATGGTCAAATTGTGACTGAGGACAGTTGAATGTGCTGGCCAGTTTGTTTTTGTCTAATAAAGCATAGTGGGCTACAGTTTTTTTTTATTTTTAAAACTTTAACAAATTGCTATTTTTCCTAATGATA